GACAACCCCGTAACAATATGCGTTTTGTACTGCTGTTACACAGCACAAAACGCATAAAAAGTATTAGTGTGTAAATATGTGCATAATGGAGGTATGCTGGCCTGGTGCAGTAATTTCGTTAAAACATGGGATGCTCAAATCGATATATACTCCGCTCGTACTTGAGCCTAGTATCTGATAGTAAAAGTTGCTATTATCGGAAAATCACTTTCAGAGCTGGACTTATTTGTTATAATAGCCTCTGATTGGCTCTCTAGGCTGCTGCTGCTGCTGGATGGATGGGCATTGCTGCCCTCTGCGAAATGAAGCTCTGGCTAAGTAAACAAATTGATACAAACTCGATGTCCACACATCCACAACTCATCCTCAGACAAACAAGCATGTGTATTGCTGCTTTTGTTTTTGTCGTTTAGCAGTGATGTAAATAAGCAGCTGGAGGCAACTAAAATAGCTAGGCTTATTGCTTGTGATTGCACTTCAGTAATGTGCTGATGTACAGGGTGCGGGGGAAGGAGTCTCAGTAGAATCTCTTTTCGGTGGTATAAGTTGGCAAGATGTGTAATTTTTGCATTCCTGTGCAAAGATAATGGAAGTCCCAGCCGATTTTACAACATGAGATGACCTCGAATTGCCAGATCACCATGATCACTTGGGATGGGTATTTCTTTTTTTTTTGAGAAAAGGGATGGTCTAACACGCTAAGCAGAACTACGCTAATGAATCCACTTCTGAGACAGTTTCCATTAAAAGCCATCGCACTGTTATATACATTTTTAATGGCTTAGAAATTCGTTCAAGCAACCGTGGGAAAAAAATGGTCATTGGGAAAGCTTCCGATAAGGAAAGAATTAAATTCAAAAAAAAAGAGGGCTGGATAAATAGAGATCAGATAATAAGGAAATACAAAATAGAAGTCAAAATCTCTCTTTAATTAACTCCCTACAAAAGACGAAGGCATCCGGAACTAGCTGAAACTGTAGCACTCGCCAACAGTAGCCACAACACTAGTTGTCGATAACGCTGTCGTCCAAGAACTGCATAAGTCAAAAATCGAGTTCCTGGATATGTGAAAATTTGCTTTAAGGTGATGATTACGTTACGAATTGCTGTTTTAGTTGTAGAATACCCTTTGCATCAAGTGGGTGCTAGTTACCAGTGATTTTTTAGTGATGTAGTCAGAAGTCATGCATTTTTCTTCAAATTACTTCATGATTATTTTGACCAGTGCTCTATCTTATTGTGGTCAGTCTTCCAGCTCTTCTGATGTTCCTTTCGTTTCCTGAATAGATTACCGACTGAACGGCTCTTCCGATAGAAGCATTTTGGCAACGCTTTAGCCATTTGGAGATTCAGCGATGTGTATCGAACGTCACCCACCACCTCGCCCCGCAAGCGTTGTCCACTTTGTTGTCTGGAAAAAATCGTATGCTATTTTTCATGCGCTTTTCATTACGTACGTGTGCTGGCCTTTTCTCGAGACGTACTGTTTGCAGGCGCAGTTGCAAAAAAACCTTCGAATATTTGTTGTCCGTTCTTCTTTAATTCACTTTTTTCTATTCGTATATTTTCCGTCTGTTGCTGCGATTTTTTTCGATGAAAAAATTCGATGAACCGAACAACCGCTTAAAAGAAGATCCCACACTAGCTGCTTATGGCCTACGGCGGCTACACATCCGGCAGATGCCTACTTCATCCGGTACCAGCAGCGCTCGAACCTACCAAAACAGTGATGTTTCAGCAGCTGCAAGAAGCAGACGACAGAATGGCAAAATTTTGGATTCATGGTGTAGTGCGGCAGACAATGCCGGCGCGACGTACTTCTGGAACCCGGATGATGCGGCGGCACTGAGGGCAAAAAATGACATTAATTCACCAAGAAATCTGAGTAGCAGCGGTGGATTTGGTACCACAGGTGGTGTTGGTGGTGGTGGTGGTGGTGGCGGCAGTAACTTAACCTCGGGGCATCTGCCTTACAATCATCATCCAGCTGTCGCCACACAGCAGCGAGTCCAGAAAATCGTTCCCAGTGGTTATGCACCAAATCGTTTTCCTGTTTCGGTCTCCTATACCGCTCGTCCATGTTGGCCAAAAACGTATACTTTTGCGACACCACCGACAAGTCCCAGCTATTCCAGTAGCACTCTGCCAGCAGCAAACAGGGTTACAAATGGTGCAGGTGGTCCACTTGTGGTACCATCGACTTCTACTTTCAATAATCCATCATCGAGCAATGGCCATGCGGCCGAACGTATCATTTATCCAAAATCCTCCTGCCCATCAGCAACCACCAGTAACTCAGGTTCGGCATCAAGCCCTTTACCACGTCGTTTTGAAAATGACAATGTTGCTCATACTCAAGCTTTACCATCAGCATCGTTACGGAACGAGAAATCTCATCGAATTGGCCGCTTAGGGCATGGATTTTTTCGCCGGAAATTGCCTATTACAAAATGTAACGGTATCAAAGAGGGAAGAGGAGGAGGAGAAGGAAGGAGGTCTGGTAATAACGGTGGTGATAGCAGCACATTTCCGATGCCTCAGTCCAAGAGCGCAACAACTGATACTAGGAGTAACAGTGATTTCGATGATTCCAGGAAACAACCTGTATTCTGGTCAGCATCTAAGAATAAAAATGGTTGGTCTTTTCTTTTTTCTTTTGTAAGCTAGTTTTTAAACTCTGCTTTGGTATAATGGTACTGGCTACCACTTCCATACCAGGGCAGTGGATCGATAGTTCGAAACTTGATAGTATCCTGGAAGAAATTCAAGATATGTGT